TGACATTTTTATTTATCTATATACTATAAATATAATATATATATAATTACCATGTCATAAAAAAAAAAGTCAAATGAAATTATTTAATTGTCACGTCATATTTAACTGATGGTAAGATTAAAATTATGTAATTTTTAAAATTAAAAGATAAAAAAATGAAAAAAAATAATTTAAGACAAAAAAGTACAAATTTATAAAGTTGAGGTATCAAATTTAGTATTTAACTTCTTTTTTTTTTAAATTTTCCACGCGAGAAAAGGTGACATGGAGGGTGTAATTAAATCCATGTAGGCATCTTTGACATGCTGGCATATCCACATTAGCCGTTCCAGTTAAGTTAACGTGCCAGGCGAGCAAAAATTAACGGAGGGACCAAAAAGGGGTCAGATTTTAAAATTTAGGGATCAAAAAGGGGATTTTTTCGGTATAGGGACCAAAAAGGGGCTTTTCCTATAGTAGAGGGACCAAAAAGGGTATTTAACCATACTATTCAGATCGAAATCGGTCTGAATATAAATAGATTAGCGCAGAATCAAAGAGATTCAAATTTACGATAAAAATTTGGCGCATAAATACAAGGGATCACATTAATTACAAACTGATTTCGGTCCATATATGTATTTAGATTACAAGGGATCACATTAATATATTCGGACCGAGTTTGGTCCAAATATATTGGGAAAAAATTCACATGTCACATTTTCATTCTTTTCATTTAAGGACATTACCATTTTCTCATGTCCTCAATCCATATATACGGACCGGTATCAGTCCGAATATAGGCACTCCGAGGGATTTTTTATCCTACAGCTAAATTAAATTAAGTATGAATATATATACGATCGGTTTTGGTCTGAATATATGCAAAGAATCCAGAAGGTTCCATGCTTTTCATTTTTCAGACCGATTTTGGTCCGAATATAGTAGAAAAAATCCAGAAACTTCTCCCACTTCACATTTGTATTCTTTTCATTTAAGGACATTACCATCTTCTCGTGTCCTAAATCTATTCTTGCGAAAACCAATTGCATGTACATCGACCCTATAGTTCCTTGGGACCACAAAACCATCGATTGTCTACCTGAAATTATCTTACTATGGTACGGAGTAAGATCGTTGCAAAACTACGAACGTATAAGTTGAAGATTATTAGAGATAATGTTACGTAATGCTCTTTCGGAGCCACAAGCAAATAAAATTAATTTTTTTTATTTAGGTTAACCACTTTGACTTGCAAACATTCGGAATGTTACGGTTTCAAACGAGAGTAGAACGACTTAAGCATGAAATAGCAAAAAAAATAAAAAGCTGTTGTTCAGGGGCATATACGGACCGATATCGGTCCGAATATAGGCACTCCGAGGGATTTTTTTATCCTAAAACTAAATTAAATTAAGTATGAATATATATACTTAATAAAAATTATACTTATTTGGTAAGTATAAACATATATACATGAAAAATTTTAAAATTCACCAAATG